TCTCTATGAGTGGTAATAATAGCCATTGAATTTGAGTGCAATTCGGAGCCACCGATAATGATTAGATGGCCGCCCAATGGCTTTTGTAAATACCATAGTTTTAGTAAGCGATCCATTTGTGGACAAAACAGGCAAAATGTATATACAGTATACATAGGACGGGCTGCTGTTCCTCACACACAGGCCTCCGGGTATCACCTCTTCATTATTATGAACACAAATGGTATTCCGATCAGGCTTTCAAGCTAGACGTCCACAAGCGATAGAATTGTGGTACAAAAGTGGTATATAGTGTGAAAAGTTGTGCTACTCATGTACCCTCACTCAATGCTGTGATATGCTGTGCACTCATAGCTATGCTATAGCTATGCTGACTTACATCAAACCTTGTTTTTCATTATATATAAAGCCTTGTCAAAGGCAGGGATGAATGCTAGGCTTAACAGTGCAACTACGACTACAGTGCTATCACACGTGAGCAAAATTTCATCGGGGGAAAGGACTGAGGAGAGGGGGGTAACGAAGCCCTGATTCCGATCTCTTGTAATAATAATAAAGAAATGTTGTTATCATTTAAGAGAATAATTTAAGTAATAATAATAATAGAAATCAGATAACATTTGTGTTGAAGTAAATGTAGCAAAAAAGAAACTGCAGATATATTTAATCATTAGTTAAGCTAATGATTAGTCGTTTCTCTCAATACACAGACTATAGTCGAGGAAGAAATAAAGCATTTCATAAAATATTATGCCTTTAAGTTATCAGCCAATCATTCATTACTTAATAATACGATGGCATCAAAAATTTATTTGCGGTTTAAAAGAGCACTTTCGCTAAAATACATATTTATTATATTTAAAATACGACAAGAGTTTTAATAATAATACTAATCATAAAATATTCTGCAATTTATATGCATTTTTTAAACAAAAATTAATATTCCTTTTAATAAATATATTCATTCATTAATTCAATGGAAAAACGAGAGTGTGTTGCATGAAGTTTGTAAAGTAGTTGTGAAGTAATGTTTAATAACTTTTATACTTTTAACAGTTATTTAACTTTACTTTTAAATATAAAGTTTTTACTGACATTTCATTTAAGATGTAAATATATTTTGCTTAATAGACTAGTCATACAATCACTTCATGTGATCCCAAAATATGATGCAAGAAATGACATCAAAGAAGACATCACTCCTTACCACAGATGACGGCAATGAAGACAATAGAAAACAGGTTTTGATAAACAATTAACTGTTTGTTTAGTTTTAAATGTTTTCTCTAATATTTTAGTCTCAATTCAATCCGAAGAACTCAATGGACAGATTAGGTGATGAATTGTATGCATTTCTGTTGTCTTATCTCACATTTGAAGACCGATTCCGATTAGAATGTGTGTCCAAACAGTTCCAGAGGACAGTCTTCAAGAGTGTTGTCGGCATTACTCTTAACGATAGACTTATGGATAAAACCAAGAAACGAAAGACAACTCTAAAGCATTTGTTTAAATCAATTGCCATAAAGTGTCCAAACATTCAGTACATTGACTGTCGAGGAATAATATTCACATCATATGAACGCATACTTCAAGTGTTGGACACATTTCAAGACAATTGCCGACATTTGAGAGAAATTTTCTGCCACTGCTTTTCTGACCAATTATTTGAAAGTATTTCACGTTTAGAGATATGACAACACTTTTACTAATTAAACTATGCATACAATCACTTCATTTGATCTCAAGATATGAGACAACAGTTGAAAGACTTGAAGGTATCATTCGTGACGCCAACGAAGACATTACGCTTTACCACAGATGACGGCATTGAAGACAACATTCAACAAGTATTTGACAAACAATTCACTGTTTATTGAGTTTTAATTTTATTTGTTTCACATTTTAGCCACAAATGTATGCGAAGAACTCAATGGACAGAATCTGTGATTACATCTATTAAACAATTAAATAATAATCACTTTTATTGAAAATAATTATTTCCTTCAATAATGACAATTTAGGGACCGATTCAGTGGCCGGCACTTCAAGAAGTGATAATCACATAAACTATAGCACAAAGTGTGATGCGATGGTCACCGAAGTTAGTGTTATTAGTGGACGTATTAGTGATGATAGCGATCGCATCACTCCTGACAATCACACCAATAATACCTCTTATATTACCGATTCGAGCGACCAGTTGTTGTTATCGACGGTCAGGTCTTCATCACTGGACCTTCAGATACAACTACTGAAAAGATGTGAATTGATTACTGAGTCCGAAGTGAAGAGTCTTTGTCTCAAAGCCAAGGAAATACTGGTCAACGAGTCTAATGTCGACGCACCCGTCAATGTATGTATACCTTGATTGACACCCATTATATTGTGTTGTCTTAAGACATAATAATGGTTATAATAACGATGGTGTATATGGTGTGGATCAGGTGTGCGGTGACATTCACGGCCAGTTCTACAATCTGTTGGAGTTGTTCAAAAGGGGTGACGACTGTCCGGACACTAACTACCTGTTTATGGGAGACTTTGTCGACCGGGGCTACCATTCGGTTCAAACATTTCTACTATTATTAGCGCTTAAGGTATGAAAAAGTGATTATTATTATAAAACTTTATGAAATTATAAAATTAATTTAGACATTAATTGTTTCGGACATTCATTAGGTTCGATATCCCGATAGGATTACTCTGATTAGAGGTAACCACGAGTCCCGACAAATAACACAAATCTACGGCTTTTATGACGAGTGCCTCCAAAAGTACGGTTCGGCAACCGTTTGGAAATATTGTACCGATATTTTTGATTATCTGCCCATTTCTGCCATTATTGACGGACAGGTATTACTTTTTGCTGTATATTTCTATGAGTATTAAACTTACGATCAAATCGGGCTAAAAATAGTTATCAATTTAACAAACACTAATCTCGCGTTTTTATTAAATAATGCAGTACTTATACAACAATTCAAACGTTTTTTAGCCCATTTGTATCCTAAGCTTTATGATAAGTTGAATCTTAAGTTATATTTTATGATTTTATATTAGATATTCTGTGTTCACGGCGGGCTGAGTCCATCCATTCAGACATTGGATCAAATCCGGGCGATTGACCGCAAACAAGAGGTGCCAAACAGCGGCCCAATGTGTGACCTGTTGTGGTCAGACCCCGAAGACATAGAGGGCTGGAAAGTGTCGCCCAGAGGTGCCGGTTATGTGTTTGGTTCGGACACTGTCTCACTGTTTAACGCAACCAATCATTTAGACCTGATTTGTAGGTCTCATCAGTTAGTGCAGGAAGGCTTCAAATATGATCACAATAGGACTGTACTGACCGTATGGTCGGCACCCAATTACTGCTACCGATGCGGTAATGTGGCCGCTATTCTAATGCTTGATCATACACTTCACCGAGATTTTTTTGTTTTTGAGGCTTCATACGAGGTTTTTGTGCTTTCTATTGGTTTTGATAATGTTTGTTCACTCATGATAAACATGTTTTGAAAAACTCAAACTAAAAATATAGCCTAATTTAATCAATAATTATAACATTATTAATATTTTAATGAATTTTCACACGTTTTTCATGAGTGATAAAAGCATTTGATTACTGAAAAGTGAATCTAAAATTTTTCAATTGTAATAACTTTGAGTTACTTTTTAATATTGATAGGAAAGACATGGCTTACATACGAAGAGACCAAATCCCGATTACTTTCTGTGATAATTGATTTCATGCCATAAGACAACTAAATTACTATATGTTTTCAATTTTTACTTTTATATTTGCATTTAATTGTATTATTAGTCATTTATATTCAACTTTCAATTAAATTATAACCGCATTTAAACATAATGTTAACCATAAGTTTAAATTAACTTCATTGTTTCTTCTTAATAGTGTTTTATCTATAAAATTGAATTAAAACTTATTCAAAACTACAATATTACTATATGTTTGTAATTAAATAAACTTGTTGATCTCAGGAATAATTAAATACATTTAACGTAATAAATAAAAACTATTGACTTGAATACAAACAGATAATTATGTGATGCCATGGTTTCGGTGTGAATAGTATTATCACATTTATAGTATAGTTAAGGTTTCGTAGAAACCATTTCCGTAATTGTGTTAATACAGCACTTATTTCAACAATTATTGCATTTATTTCATTCATTTTTGTAGATTTTATTGACGTTTAATAACAAAATAATTTTTATATATTTATTAATCAAACTATTCATACAATCACTTCATTTGGACACAAAATATGACACAACACATGAGATCAGGTGTTACCACAGATGACGGCAAAGAAGATGAAATATTGTATTCAATACATCAGGTATTTGATTAACAATTGAATGTTTATTAAGTTTTAATTGTTTTTGTCTCACATTTTAGCCAAATTCTGTGAAGAACTCAATGGACAGATTCGGTGATAATTTGTGTGCATTTCTATTGTCTTATCTCTCACTCGAAGATCGATTCCGTTACGAATGTGTGTCAAAACGGTTCCAGAGGACAGTCTTCGAGAGTGTTGTGGACATAGATATCGATAATCACTTGTTTAAACATGAATTGATAGAAAATATAAGTTTGCGTCAATTGTTTGACAATCTTTTAAACAAATTCAGTAAAAAGAAAAACGAGATTTCATTTGACACACAATTGTTGACCAGAATTGCCATAAAGTGTCAAAACATTCAGACTATTGACTGCCGAAGAATACCATTATGTGATGACATAATACCCGAAGTTTTGGACATATTTCGAGACAATTGTCGGCATTTACGAGAAATTCATTGCGATTTGGGTTTAAATAGCGATTACTTGTATCACATCTACTGTCCTTTCATCACAAGAATCAATAGTCTTTCCGCACAACACAAACAATCACTCCTTCATTGCTACCGATTGTCTCGATTACGGGTCCACTTCCTGTCCGACATCTTTGGCAACAAATCCGGAGAAATATTAGCAAAAGATTTGCAAAAATTTGAATTTTATTATTATTCGACTGATAATATGGGACTGTTGTCGACATTTGTGGCACACAATCAGTCCCTCAAAAGTCTTGTCATAAATGTTGAGAGATATTACTCTCCCATCTCTTTGACCGAAATGGGCGGACAATTGTCACGATTAACACAATTACGGGAATTAACACTCATTTTAACGATATTTGATAATCAGAACTCATTGTCTGAGTCTTTGCGTACAATTGGCTTAAACTGCAAACAATTAAAGCGATTAATACTTGAATTCTGTTCAAAAGATATTCAACTCAAAGGCCAGACATTGGATTCGTTAAGATATTATCACAGATTAAAACGTTTAAAAATAACCTCAAGAATGATCATTAATCAACAACTGTTGGAACCGTTGAAACTCTGCCACCGATTAACACATTTAACAATCAATTCATGGCTAATGAATGACAAATTACTTCTAAATAGTGATAATCATTGGCAACGACTTCAATACCTATCTATCAGCGCCAATGGGATCACTCGCGAGTGTTTGGATTACATCTCAAGACTACCGGCGCTGCAAATGCTTGTCATTCACTGCAATCAAGACATTGATCTGTCGGACAATGATTTGAATGCTGTGTTGTCTTCGAGTCCTAAACTCAACAACATTGAAATCCGTGAAAACATTGTTTCAATGTTTTATTGCCGTAAAATAAAATAAATTTTAGTTATTTTTACAAAATATAAATTTTTACTGGAAATTAAATAATAATTTTTTACCAATCAATTTAAATAAATAATTAATAAACTTAATTAATAACGTAGTGTGAATACCTGTAGAATAGATACAGTGTAGATCAGGGCTTCGTTACCCCCCTCTCCTCAGTCCTTTCCCCCGATGAAATTTTGCTCACGTGTGATAGCACTGTAGTCGTAGTTGCACTGTTAAGCCTAGCATTCATCCCTGCCTTTGACAAGGCTTTATNATGAAATTTTGCTCACGTGTGATAGCACTGTAGTCGTAGTTGCACTGTTAAGCCTAGCATTCATCCCTGCCTTTGACAAGGCTTTATATATAATGAAAAACAAGGTTTGATGTAAGTCAGCATAGCTATGAGTGCACAGCATATCACAGCATTGAGTGAGGGTACATGAGTAGCACAACTTTTCACACTATATACCACTTTTGTACCACAATTCTATCGCTTGTGGACGTCTAGCTTGAAAGCCTGGTGTAGATTGACAGCCTCGAATTAGTTGAATATATTGTATTTAATAATAACAAAAATTCCAAATTAATTAACATTTAAATAAAAACAATTTATAAATTTATTTTTATTTATAGAATATTACTTATTATACTTTCTTTAATAGCTTTCAATTTTTTAGGGTGACCAGTTAAATCACATGAATTTATATATTAATAATTTAATAGAAAATCAAATTGTTTAGTAAATAATAATATTTTAAGCTTAATAAACAAAATGTACAATGTAATAATAAATTTTATTGTATAGGTTAACTGCAATTTAGGATAATGTTGTAATAGATCATATAATATTAACGTTGCCGATGTGATTATTATTATTAATCCCATTAGTTTAAAGTTTAAACTTTAAACTTCCAACAATGTATTTATAAGATATTAACAAATGTTGAAAACTTCAATTTCATTATATTTTGTGACTAAAATCCCGATAAACATGCATGGTCACATAAATAATTAAATTTTTATACAAATACAATTGAATTGACACAAAAACAGATAATTATGTGATGCCATGGTTTCGGTGTGAATAGTATTATCACATTTACAGTTAAGGTTTCGTAGAAACCATTTCCGTAATTGTGTTAATACAGCACTTATTTCAACAATTATTGCATTTATTTCATTCATTTTGTGTAGAATTTATTGACGTTTAATAACAAAATAATTTTCATATATTTATTAATCCAACCATTCATACAATCACTTCATTTGGACACAAGATATGACACAACACATGAGATCAGGTGTTACCACAGATGACGGCAAAGACGATGAAATATTGTATTCAATACAACAGGTATTTGATTAACAACTGAATGTTTATTAAGTTTTAATTGTTTTTGTCTCACATTTTAGCCAAAAAGCTCTGCGAAGAACTCAATGGACAGATTCGGTGATGACTTGTGTGCACTACTCTTGTCTTACCTCTCACTCGAAGACCGATTTCGTTACGAATGTGTGTCCAAACGGTTCCAGAGGACAGTCTTCGAGAGTGTTGTGGACATTGATATCGACAATCATTTGTTTAAACACGAATTGTTAGAAAATAGAAATTTGCGTCAAATGTTTGCCGATATTTACAACACATTCAGTAAAAAGAAAAACGAGATTTCATTTGATACACAATTGTTGACCAGAATTGCCATAAAGTGTCAAAACATTCAGACCATTGACTGCCGAGGAATACCATTATGTGATGACATAATACCCGAAGTTTTAGACATATTTCGAGACAATTGTCGGCATTTGCGTGAAATTCATTGCGATTTACGTTTAAATAGCGATTACTTGTATCACATCTACTGTCCTCTCATCACAAGAATCAATAGTCTTTTCCCACAACACAAACAATCACTCATTCATTGCTACCGATTGTCTCGATTACGGGTCCACTCGTTGTCCGACATCTTCGACAACAATTCCGGAGAACTATTGGCGAAGGATTTGAAGAAATTTGAATTTTCTTATAAATCCAGTGATAATAAGGGACTGTTGTCTGCATTTGTGACACACAATCAGTCACTAAAAAGTCTTGTCGTATGTGTTAATAGACTCCTTGACTCAACTCACAACTCTTTGGGCAAAATATGCGTACAATTGTCACGATTAACACAATTATGGGAATTAACACTCGTTTTAAAGATATTTGATAACCAGAACTCATTGTCTGAGTCTTTGCGTACAATTGGCTTAAACTGCAAACAATTAAAGCGATTAAGACTTGAATTCTGTTCAAAAGATATTCAACTCAAAGGCCAGACATTGAATTCGTTGAGATATTATCACAGATTAAAACGATTAGAAATAACCTCAAGTTTGATCACTAATCAAGAAGTGTTGGAACCGTTGAAACTCTGTCACCGATTAACACATTTGACAATCAATTCATGGCTAATGAGTGATAAATTACTTCTAAATAATGACAATCATTGGCCGCGACTTCAATACCTAAACATCAAAGTTAATGATATCAGTGGCGAGTGTTTGGATCACATCTCAAGACTACCGGCGCTGCAAACTCTTGTCATCAGGTGTTTGATTAAATGCCCAAAATATAAAGTTTTCTGCGATCTGTTGTCGAGAAGTCCTAAACTCAAGAACATTGAAATTCGTGAAAACATTTTTTCGATGTTTTATTGCCGTAAAAATACAATAAATTTTTAGTTTTTTTTATAAAAATATGAATTTTTTATTGGAAATTAAATAAAAAAATTTTTATAAATCATTTTTAATAAATACTGAATAAACTTTATTTTTATAATAATTTTAATGTAAAATAAAACTTGATATGCAATTGAAACACAACTTTTACTTTATTTAATGTTCAAAATATTTTCAGAATACGACTAAAACCCAAAAAAGTAGTCAAATTTGGTTTTTATTCAATCAATTCATCAGTAAATCTTTAATTGAGTTTATTTTATAATTTTTATCATAAAATCATTATTTTTCTATTACCGGTATTATTATAATTATATAATTTTTATCGTTAATTAACAGTAAAAATATATTTATGCAAAAATATATAAATATATTTAGAAAAAATACAAAAATAAACTTACGGTATATTAATTACAGTACACTATAATTATTAAAATAAATGGTAATTTAAATGTAATTAAAAAAAAATAACAGATATAAAGTGAGTTTAATTCACATTTAAACTATTTTGACGGCAATAAAATATCGACAATTTATTGACATGTATTTCAATGTTTTTTAGTTTAGGAGTTCTTAAAAACACATCCGAGAAATCCTCATCCGAGAGATTCAACGTTACGTAGGATTGAATGACAAGTGACTGAAGCGCCGGTAGTCTTGAGATGTGTGACAAACACTGACTCCCAAAATAGTGGTTCTTAACCAACAGGTGTTGAAGTCGTGGATAGAGTTCGTGACAATTGTCTAACAAATTACTGTTCATTTGCGAGCATTTGATCGATAGATGCGTTAATCGTTTGCCGGGAATCGAGAGATAAATCAATTGTGAATTAAAATTTAAATACAATCGTTTGAGTTTCGGAAAACACTTCAACGGATCCACTGATTGGACATTGATTTCTGTGATCTGAGCGCCCAATACGAGTGACAATCGCTTCAATTGTTTGCATTTCACGCCAATTGTACGCAAAAAGTCGTTCAGCGAAGAAATTGGTATAAAAAACTCGAGGAATTCGAGCTTCAAATCACGCAAATGTGGTAATCGTGACAACTGTTGGATCAGTTCAGTGATAGTGTCCGTATTCTTGACTTTAATCGCGTTTATGGTCAGACTCTGCAGCGACTGATTCTCTGTCACAAACTCCCAAAACATATGCTTATTATCTTCTTTTAGTCTGAATGTGAACTCAAATCTCAACAAATTCTTTGCCATCAATTGATGGGAATAATCGTCGAACACATCTCGAAGAGTAGTGACCGACAAATGAAACAATCGGTGGCATTGAATGAGTGAATGTTTGGTCGAAACACTGCCGATTCGGGTCACAAAAGACGACAACTTTGGGATCCATTGGAAGTAATTTTGCCGCAAATTGTAGTAAATTTCCCGCAAATGTCGGCAATTGTCGTGAAATATGTTCAACACTTCGGGTATTCGGTTATCAAATGATTTGTTCATTTCTCGGCAGTCAATGGTCTCAATGTGTGGACACTTTGTGGCCATTGTTTTGATTGTTTCATTCATTTTTGAGTTTTTGTTTAATATTTGTTGAATGAGTCGGTAATTGATTCTGATGTCGACAACACTCCCGAAGACTGTCCTCTGGAACTGTTTGGACACACATTCGTAACGGAATCGGTATTCGAGTGGAAAGTAAGACACTATAAGTCCACACAAGTCATCACCGAATCTGTCCATTGAGTTCTTCGCGTATATCTGTGTCTAAAATGTTTAACAAAAACAATGAAAACTCAATAAACAGTGAATTGATTGTGAAATACCTGTTGTGTGTAATTGTCTTCATTGCCGTCATCTGTGGTCTCGAGTGATGCCATCAAATGTGTCAACTGTTGTGCCATATCTTGAGACCAAATCTAGTGATTGAATGGATTGATTGAAATCGTAATTAAATATTGTTTTCAATTCAAAACAAATATAAAAACAATGATTTTGTAAAACATAATAAATGTGTTGTTATTGTTATGAAATATATCGACAATAGTCTGTATTCAATATTGCGAATGTAAGCATAGCTGTGACAATACAGACAACTCTCGTTACGATATTGTAAGTGAAAACTATCGTCAAATAAAGTGAATATTTATTTTTAAAAATGAGTAAAACGTGTAATAATTAAGTATATTATTAAACAATTGCATTATTATTAAAATACAATTTAATTAAATATGATTTTTAATATAATTAAACAACAATTATATTACAGTATAAAAGTGTGGGCAAAATGTTTTGGTAAAAGGTTTATACTTTATGCACAATAGTATTGAATGGTGTGCTTTGTATGGCTATATAGACGTAGTTTTAGTGCTTTTATATATGAATATAATATATTGTATTAAACCTTAAATTATAGCATAAATAGTGTTATTATTAATGGTATTAAAACTTCGATACCTTTTGAATGCCTTTTCGGCGCAAATATTATGTAATTTTGCTTTTGTTTACATTTTATAACAAAAATATTTATTCATTCATACAATCACTTCATCTGATCCCAAGATATGGGACAACAGTTGACACAAACGATGGCATCACTCGAGACAAGAGATGACACCGAAGACAAGGTATTGAGTGAGAAATTATCGACTGTTTATTGAATTTTGTTTTTGTCTCACATTTTAGCCACAAATCTATGCGAAGAACTCAATGGACAGATTCGGTGATGACATGTGTGCACTCATATTGTCCTATCTCTCACTCGAAGACCGATTTCGTTACGAATATGTGTCCAAACAGTTCCAGAGGACAGTCTTCGAGAGTGTTGTGGAGTTCATAATCAATGAGCGCCTCATAAGACAAATGCAAAACACAAACAAAACAATGAGTGAAATGATGGAAACAATTGCCATAAAGTGTCCGAACATTGCGATCATTGACTGCCGAGGAATACAATTATTAGACGAAACGTTGGCTAAAGTGTTGACAATATTTCACGAAAATTGTGTGCATTTGCGACACATTTACTGCAATTTACACCCAAAGTGTTGTTATCAACACATCTCATACTTCGGACCACTGATCACACGACTCGCATGCGTTGCGCCCAAACACTCACTCATTCATTACCACCGATTGTCTCATTTGACGGTCGACTCAATACGACAAGTGTTTGACAAGTATTGGGGAGAAGTGATGGTTAAGAATCTGTTGGCCTTTGAGTTCACATTTGACGACAAATACGTTAGAAACCATATGTTGTCCGCATTTGTGGTCCACAATCAGTCCCTCACATGTCTTGTCATAACAATCAACAGTCAGAACACTATCACTGAACTGATCCAACAGTTGTCATATTTGCCACGTTTACGGCAATTGACGCTCAAATTCATAGAATATCCCAAACAATACTCTTTGTCCGACTCTTTGCGGACAATTGGCGTGAATTGCAAACAATTGAAGCGATTGTCACTCGTATTGGGCTCTAAGACCGCAAAAGTCGATAAACAGATAATGAAATTATTGAATATTTGGCGAAAACACAAACTATTGAATACAACTCCCAGTTATGAAGGGATTAGTGTTAATCATCACTCGTTTGATCCATCGCTTCCCGGCCAGAGATTAACGCATTTATCAATCATATGCTGGGAAATGGAGTTTAAATTGTGTGACAAGTTGTATAAACTCTGGCCACGACTTCAACACCTGTCCATTCAATGCCTGTATTTTAAAGGCCGGCGTTTGGACCGCATATCAAGACTAACGGCTTTGAAAACTCTTGTCATTAACGCCATTATTATCGATGATATTGAAGACAATGTTTTCACGGATCTGTTGTCTTCGAGTCCTAAACTCAAGACAATTGAAATCCGTGTAAACAATGAGAAGAAGTTTTATTCAAAGGAAAAATAAATTTTATTTTAATTTACTTTTAACGAATATTTATAAATTATAATTAAGTAATTGTAATATTTTTAATGACAAATTAAAAGCACATATGTTTTACATTTACATTGAATTCAATTTTATTAATAAGTGTATTAAGTATTGAATAAATTAAAGTTTATTATTTGCCACATCTATTACATTATAATTATATAATTATAAAGTACAGTAATAAAATTTATTACATTTAATGTAGAATAAACAAAACTTGATTTATAACATTTATATTAATTATTTAAAATAATTTATTAATTGAATTAGTAGTAAATTTTAATTACAAATTTATAATAAAAATAAAAACAATTAAAACAAATCACTTGATTTATAAACAAATGAGAATTTGTGTAAATTCATAACCAATAACTGTCGGGAAGTTTTGTCGAAGACAGCGGACAACGAGTAGACATGTAATCGAGACAATCGGTGGCAACAAATGAGTGACTGTTTGTGTTGTGCGGAAAGACTTGATTCTTGTGATGAGTGGTTCGTAGATCTGATACAAGTGATCGCTTTTCACATGTAAATCACAAATTGATTAGTAAACATGTAATAAAATAAGACAATTACACATCATTTCATTTATAGTTTGGACTGAATTACAAATCATTAAACATTTATAGCATTTTTATTTTGAATAAAACTTCTTCTCATTGTTTACACGGATTTCAATTGTCTTGAGTTTAGGACTCGAAGACAACACAGCATTCAAATCATTATCCGAGAGATCAATGCCTTTGCGGCAATGAATTACAAGCATTTGCAGCGCCGGTAGTCTTGAGATGTGTGACAAACACTCGGCGTTTATATTCTTATAATAGTCACGAATGTATAGATATTGAAGTCGTGAACAATTTTGGTGACAATTTTCCAACACTTTTGCTAACTTTGGCGTTAATATCAGCTCTAAATGTGTTAATCTCTTGCAGTGTTTAAACGGATCCGCATTGATATCGATGTTTGTATAGACTAATTGCAAGCGCTTTAATCTGCGATAAGATCCCAACGAATCCAACGTTAATGGTATTAAAAAATCGGGACATGAGAGCAACAATAGTGACAATCGTTGCAATTGTTTGCAATTTAAGCCAATTGTACGCAAAGACTCGTTCACTGATATGTTATCCTCAGACAACTCAAACCCGAGTCTCAATTCCCGTAATTGTGTTAATCGTGACAATTGGACACATATTTCGTTAATTGTTTCCTGAGTTTCAACACTAGTCCTAAACGTAATACTTTTGAGGGACTGATTGTGTGCCACAAATGCAGACAACTGTTGATAATCTCCATAGCAGTCTACGTCAAGTTTAGTCAAATTGTTGGCCAATAAGTGTCCGGAAGTGCTGTGGAAGACATCGGACAAAGAGTTGATATTTAAATGAGACAATTGGTGGCAATGGATGAGTGATTGGCTTTCACTGTTCGGTTCAATTCCGTTGATAAGCGATGGAAACATCTGAAATTCATTACAGAAGTTACCGATTCGTGTGATCAGTGGTAACAATGAACTCATTGTTTGCGAACTATTTTCCCGTAAATTGCAGTAAATTTGCCGCAAATGCCGGCAATTGTCTCGAAATATTTGCAACGCTTTGGGAACTCGTTTCTCATATTTGTCGGTTATTCCTCTGCAGTCAATGGTCTCAATGTTTGTCAATTTTATGGCAATTCTGGTCAACAATTGTCTCTTAATTTTCTTCCTTTTCAATATTTTGTTAATAAATCTGTCGCTAAGAGTGAAGTCGACAACACTCTCGAAGACTGTCCTCTGGAACTGTTTGGACACACATTCGCATTGAAACCGATCTTTGAGTGAGAGATAAGACACGAGAAGTGCACACAAATCATCACCGAATCTGTCCATTGAGTTCTTCGCGTAAATCTTTGTCTAAAATGTTTAACAAAAACAATGAAAACTCAATAAACAGTAAATTGTTTGTCAAATACCTGTTGTCTGTTGTCTGCATTGCCGTCATCTGTGGTCTCGAGTGATGCCATCATTTGTGTTAACTCTTGTGTCATATCTTGGGATCAAATGAAGTGATTGTTTGATTGAATAGTATTTTTGTCACAAATCGTAATAATATTTACATTGAATTGAATTGAAAACATAAATGGATTGCAATATAAGTGACAATAAGTGACATCTATTGACCACTTGTTATGTATGGCTATATAGACGTAGTGTTAGTCCCAATCGATAGCAATATTATATAGTATTCATAGAAATAGTGTTATTATAAAAAGCACTAAAACTTCGATACGTTTTGAATGCCTTTTCGGCGCAAATATTATGTAATTTTTGCTTTTGTTTACATTTTATAACAAAAATACAATTCATTCAAACAATCACTTCATTTGATCCCAAGATATGACACAAGAGTTGACACAATTGAAGGCATTACTCGAGACAAGAGATGACACCGAAGAACAGGTATTGAGTGACAAATTATCGACTGTTTATTGAATTTTGTTTTTGTCTCACATTTTAGCCACAAATCTATGCGAAGAACTCTTTCGATCGTTTCGGTGATGACTTGTGTGGACTCATACTGTCTTTCTCTCCACAGAAACACAGATATCGTTACGAATGTGTGTCCAAACAGTTCCAGAGGACAGTCTTCGTGAGTGTTGTGAACGTCATTATCAGCGATGGATGTTTGACGCAAATACCGGAGAGATATGTCCCGCAAATGTTGGCCACAATTACCACAAAGTGTCCCAACATTGAGATCATTGACTGCCGAAGAATAGACACATTCAGACGTCACGTCCCGACAATACTGACCACATTTCGGGACAATTGCCATAATTTGCGGCACATTTACTGCAGTCTATTGGAGGGGAACAACAAATGGCTGTCGGAATACCAATCGTTGGTCACCCGAATCGGTTCCATCGACAGGACGTATAGCAGCCCTTATGTCCAGCGCTGCCAACGATTGACCAAAATTGTGATCAAATCATTGCGCGACGGCTTCTCTCCGAAGAGACCAATACTGACCACGAAATTAGAGAAATTGTCGTTCCGTTCGTACGACGGGATCAGTGGCGGTGATAATCAACTCTTCGCCGCAGTTGTGGCAAACAATCAGTCGCTGACACGTCTGTCAGTGCACGCCATGAAACCCGAAACCGTAGACATTATGACAGAGTTTGCGGACATAGTGTCGCAAAATGTGCCACAATTGCGGCGATTGTCTCTCTATTTCGATGTGACAGACATTGGCTACTCATTGGACGCCTCTTTGCGGACAATTGGCGTGAAGTGTAAACAATTGAAAATATTGTCACTCGGATTGCGTTCATGTTATGGCCAAAGCGCTGTCCAGACATTCAATTCATTGCAATATTTTTCACGATTAAAGCGATTGTCGTTAAAAGTCTATGCGATGGGCAATGACTTCGAGTCCTATAAACAGCAATTTGTGGATCCGTTGAAACACTGCCACCGATTAACGCATTTAAGTCTTGAATTGTCACAAATGAGTGGACAATATTTTGTTAATTGTGATAAACAGTGGCCACGACTTCAATACCTGTTTATTCGTTATTACAAACAGAATAACACGATTGACAACGAGTTTGTGTCTCACATCTCAAGACTACCGGCGCTGCAAACGCTTGTCATTCAATGCAATCAAGACATTGATTTCTCGGCCAATGATTTGAATGCTGTGTTGTCTTCGAGTCCTAAACTCAAGAACATTGAAATCCGTGTAAACAATGAGAAGAAGTTTTATTCAAAATCAAAATGCAATCAATAAGTGATTTAAATTGAATTTATAAAATATTTTTTGATACTTTTAATGTCTTTCTATAGTTTGTTCTGATTTTTATTTAATGGGAATTTAGAAATAATGTTTTATTTTGCATTCTTTTCATACATTACTTGTATTTTATTACAGTTATAATAATTAATGTTTCATTACTTAAAGTAAACCATTGTTTTTACATAAATTAAAAGTTCATTAACTCTTTATTACATAATTACAATTTATGCCAATATATGGCCTAACAGTTGACATCAGGTTTAAACTTAAAACTTTAAAGTATGTTATCTATAATGAGATCTATCAGTAGATAATCTATGCATAGATTGTATGCCAGACAACGAGTATTATATAATATGCCGTAATATTAGGCCTTTTATACAGTATAGAGTCATATAGTATTGTCATTGAGAGTAATCAATACAAATGCACTCAATGTTAGCTACAAATCAATACTGTATTCAATATTACGTTATATTTATTTATTTGCGTAAATATTACGCAATTTTTATGCCATTTGTTTGCATTGACTGTCATTACAAACAATACAATTCATTCATACAATCACTTCGTTTGATCTCAAGAGAGGACACAATTGATGACATCACTCGAGACCACAGATGACGGCAATGAAGACAATTACAGACAACAGGTATTTGACAAACAATTCACTGTTTATTGAGTTTTATTAATATTATTATTGATTTTTTTTGTTAACCATTTTAGACACAAATCTATGCCAAAGACTCTTTGGATCGTTTCGGTGATGACTTGTTTGGACTTCTATTGTCTTATCTCTCACTCGAAGACAGATTCCGATGCGAATGTGTGTCCAAACAGTTTCAGAGGACAGCCTTCGACAGTGTTATCGACATTAATATCAATGACCGACTTATGAGACAAATACGAAGAACAACAATAACTCAAACAATACCAACAATTGCCACAAAGTGTCCAAACATTGAGACCATTGACTGCCGAGGAATAAACAAGTCATATGATAGACATATACCCGAAGTGTTGGACATATTTCACGACAATTGCCGGCATTTACGGGAAATTTACTACAATTTGCGGCAAAATTACTACCAATGGATCCCAAAGTTGGGAACACTTGTCACCAGAATTGGCAGTATTTCTGCCAAACACTCACTCATTCATTGCCACCGATTGTCTCACTTAACGGTGGATTCAATTCTAAAAGTCTTTGACAACTATTCCGGAGAACTTATGGCAAAGAATTTGTTGGGATTTGAGTTTAGATTCAGTGATAAACACATTAGAAACCAATTGTTGTGGACATTAGTGGCCGACAATCAGTCGCTGCAAAGTGTGGCCGTAAATGAGATCAAATTCAAAGCTCAAGACACTATCACTGAACTGATCCAACAATTGTCACGATTACCACAATTGCGTGAATTGACTCTTGAGTTCCGCGCGTTTCCAAATCAGGACTTATTGAGCGACTCTTTGCGGACAATTGGCGTGAATTGCAAACAATTGCAACGATTGTCACTCCGATTGAACCCTGAGATCACAGAAATCAATGTCCAAATATGGGATCCGTTGAAAGTGTTTCGACGACTGAAACGATTGAAATTAATATTCACTTCACAATTGATGTCTCTCTGGATTCCCGGCCGAAAATTAACGCATTTATGGATCAAATGCTCGGAAATGAACAGTAATTTGTTAGTCAATTGTCACGAACTTTGGCCACGACTTCAATACCTGTCCATTAAATGCCGATATATTGACGGCCAGTGTTTGGATCACATCTCAAGACTACGAGTTCTGCAAACACTTGTCATTCAATGCTATGTAAGCATTGATCTCAAAGATAATGATTTCTGGGATCTGTTGTCGAGAAGTCCTAAACTCAAGAACATTGAAATCATTGAAGACTTTATCCCACAGTTTAAATATATAATATATAACAGTTTAAATGTTTGAATCAAAACATTAATTAATAATAATTTTTATGCAAACTTTATATTTATTTTAATTTTAATGAAAACTATTTTTTTAAATTGCATTAATAATTATGTTTAATAATAAAATGTAATTAATTTTAATAAATTATGATTTAAATCACATTTAAATTAATTATTCAAAGTTTGGCAAAATGTTTGCAAATAGATGTCAGTCCTGTCGTCAGACTTATTGGGTTTCACTTCAACTCTGTTTACAATTCAATTGATTGTAAATATTATAACATTTTTGTGACAAAAATACTATCCATTCATACAATCACTTCATTTGATCCCAAGATATGGCACAACAGACGAAACACAATAAGACATCACTCGAGACCACAGATGACAGCAATGAAGACAAACCACAGGTATTTGACAAACAATTGACTATTTATTGAGTTTTCATTGTTTTTGTTAAACATTCACTGAAAACTCAATCGACTGCCGAATAGTGTATTCTTGATCCCCTGCTAGTAAAAAGGCGAAATTTACCCCCTATTACTAACAAGTGAATTCTCTATTCCCAACTGGTATACTAGTCTCAAATAAACCAGTGGCAAATAGAAAATTCTCTATTCAAGACGGTCTAATAATTGACTATGGATTACATTTTTATGCTTTAATGACTACATTTATTTAGATTTGAAACACAAGATTATTGTACACATATTTATTGATTATAAACTCCAAGTAATTATATCATTGAATACATGTTTGAATGATTAATTACTAAATACTTTATAAATATGAAAATTACAAATAGATAACTATCGCAATTATGTAATCATGCTAATTATTACAAACAATTAATTATAAAAACTTTATAAATATAAAATAGTTGTTGATCTTCACTAAGAATGTCTCGATTGATACTCAAAATGATTGTTTCTCCCATATATCCATGTCTTCATTTGTTGTGTTGTAAACATTAAGCTTGCATTGCTTTGCCTTCGTTTAGATACCAACCAAATAGCGATTTGATTAAATTCACTGTAATTTAATATTATATGTTTAAAAGATGCTTATTAGTGGCAATAATGTGTAGCGTGATTACGTAATCACGCTACATTTCAATGCAATTAAGTCATGACTTACTTATCGCTTACTTCATTGATCTCTATTACAGACAATTGCATTTAAAATATTAATCATATAATATGTTAACAATCTATTTTACATTCAAATATAAACAATCACAGTATAACTGTTGAGACAAATAGTCATTCAAATATAAATAACTGCCAATTATTTTGTTTGGTTGTATTGGAGAGAACACAACGTGTCAGCCATTGGTAAGCTTTGCTATTATATGTGTCCAATACAAGGCAATGCAATATTATTGCAATATTATTGCACCAATACTGCATTGAAATGCACATAAACACTCAAACACTACTCGACGCGTACATAAAATACGTCCAGTTTATATATAAAAACTAGTTTTAAATGGTTTACTAGCCAAGACTAGGAAAGAGAGTTTTCAGTGTTTTACTGTTAGACAATGATTTACGCAAAGAACTCAATGGACAGATTCGGCGATGAAGTGAATGAACTTTTGTTATCTCATCTCTTACTCGAAGATCGGTTTCGATTTGAATGTGTGTCCAAACAGTTCCAGAGGACTGTCTTCGAGAGTGTTGTCTGCATTGATATCAACGATCAAATCAAAAGAAGTGAAAAGGAATCTATCGGTAAAATGTTGGCCACAATTGCCATAAAGTGTCCAAACATTGAGATCATTGACTGCCGAGGAATAGGTACCAAATATGAGAAACACTGGTTGTATGCTCTCCATCACAAAAGTCGAATCGTATATGCCATTCGATAAAGGACACCAAGATGTACTTCCATATAAATTTTGGTCGAATTTCCAACGGCCGATTTCGAGATATTCGACTTTGTTGT